ATCAAACAACCCAAATATCGTTAATAATGACAAAATTAGAATCCTAGAGAAGTATTACTTACGAAATTAGAATAAGCTCTCGATGGTTCACGAAAGATGATAATATTAGTATATATATTTAAAAAATTAATAAATCAATTATTGACAAATAAAAACATACATTACCAAACCACACAAAAAAAAAAAAAAAAAACGAAAATCTCATATAAGTTTTCTAAGAATCACTTCTCCCTCTCCAAAATTTTGAATTATTTATCTTATAATTTAAAGTTTCTTTATCACTTACCTCTCTAACTTGGAGGGTAAGTGATAGAGAAATTTTAAATAAAGGTATAAATGATTACAAATTTTAGAGAAGGAGATAAGTGATTCTAAAATAAATGTATAGGATTTTTTTTTTTGAAGTTTTCTAAAAAAAAAAAAAAAAGGTACATTACCCCATTCTTCTTTCTTTTCCTCTCAATATTTGAGGATTTGCTAAGCAAAGCTTACATAGCACGTTAACTGTTAATTGGCCTGCTAAACGTTAATAGGCTTCCTAACATCGATCCCACACTGAATTAGAAATAGTATTTGGATAGATTTTATATTTTATTGCTCGATAGAATAAGTCTTCTCTTTTTCTTGAAGTTAGTAACAAAATTCTTTAAAACTCTAATATGATAATATTATATATTTTTTAGACCAAAAATAAGTTTAATTCATGAGATTAAAGTTCAATGGCGATGCTCCATTAATATAAAGGGAGGTGTGTATCAGTAGAGATTCCAACATTCCAATTAATATGAAACTGAGGTGGATAATACAATATGTTAAATTGGTATCAGACGGTGAAATTAAACACTGTACTTTTATGGCAACTAGAAGATGATCGTATCTGTTATTATAATCATGAAATTGTAGGTATTTTGTGGGATAAAGTAGGTTGTTAAATCATAATACGTATTGTATATCGTTTAGTTGGTTTTTTGTATTGTGTATCATGAATTGTATTGAATCGCAAATACAGAAATATAATAAAAAATAACTTTAAAATATACAATATAATTAAGAGGAGTGTTATTATTACAATCTAAAAGTTTTACAACCTATTTTTTATCGTTTATTTTCGTCAATCAAACGGTTATAATTTATTAGAAATTAATAGTTATAATAAATGTGACCCGATAAATCATAACCGTTGGATTGACAGAAATCAACAGTAAAAAAATAGGTTATGTAAGTATAACGCTCCTCTATAATTAATATTATGTAAATCTTCAAAAAGAATCCAATAAGTAAAATACATAAATAATTAAAGTGCAAATCAATTATTCTTCTGTTCATTAATAATTTAGACTAATATTATCACTATTATTACTGTCAGCATCTATCAGTGACATAACTAATCCATCATCCATTTTCGAAAAGGATCCTTTTAAGTTTTTTTTGTAGAAATTCTTTACGGAATCTATTTTCGGACGAAAGTTTCACCGAAAAATTTCGCTCAAAATTTTTGACAAAGAAATTTTTGTAGGGACATATTTTATCAAAAAAATTTGATGACAAATATTCCGTCAATTTTTTTGACGAAATTCTTTTTTCCGTCAAAACTTTTGATGGAATTTTTGTTGTTGAAAATGTTTAACAAATTATTTTCGTCAAAACTTTTGACGGAAACTAAATCCCATCGTAAATTTTGAAAGAAAAATTATTTTTGTAAAAAGTTTCATCGGATAAAACTTCCGTCGCCTTTCGATAAAAAGTATTCCGTCGGAAAAATCTTTTTTTGAAGAAATTTTCATTGTTTGCAACGTAGAATTTTCGTTAAAAATATGATTTTTTTTAGTAGTGTGAAAAATACATAAATAATTTTGTTTAAAATTTTTAAATTTAATTTAATTTATAAAATATAATTATTATATTAATTTTTAAAAGGGATAAAATTGTAAAAATATTTCATTGACCCCCCCAATTTTTCCCTTTACCATTTTTTTAACTTCCAAACAAGAGAATGGAATACCCTCCAAACCTTTTCTTCCTTCCCCTTGAATTTCCTTTCTTTCCTTCGAGTCCTTCCCGTTTTCTAAACTCCCAAACAAACAAAGCTTAATCTATGGCAAAGGATGAGAATTTCCAATAGCACCAGCCTCTGCTTTTTTTGCGGATTAAGAGTAATGACATAACATTAATTTTTTTCCACATACATTGGCCCAATTAAGTTAAAATTCAAAGAGAATTCAGTGGTCTGTCAGAGTGTACCACGTGGAATTGAATTAATGTAATGAATACTTAACAAAATAGCAGGTACGTAGGTTCTTCATATTTACTTTAATAATGTAACATTTGATGGTTAAAGGCTAAAACTTTATATTTCCTTATAAAATATGATTGAACAAATGTACAGAGCAATGAATGAAAAGGAAATTAGGAAAAAAGTGTCATAAATAGGGACATATTTCATAAGTAATATTTAATGAACAAATGGTACTTTGTGTTTTAGCAAGAAGATATTTTAAGAAATTATTAGTTAAACAATTTTTACATCACAAACATGTAATATTACTTATATGTAGTGACAGATTTGTGATTTTTTATGATACGTGGTGAAAATAAAATTTTAAAATTACATGCATTATTTAAAAAAAAATTATTTTAAGAAATATCATGAACTCATCCTGAATCGAATTAGTCATCAAGCGATAATCGATTGGAATATTTAAAAAAAATTATAGGTATTATTAAGATTACTAGGAGATTTTAAATATTATAAATATTTTTAAACGAGAGGCTAAATATTAGTATTAATAACCTATTATTATTAAAAAATATTATTTTATATATAAAATAAAAAAAATAAAATTTAAGAAGAGACGACGTCAACACATAAATTATATGTAAGTTTTGTTATGTTAAAATTCTGTCAGATAAGCCCTTGAAGAGGTAATTTTGTTATATTAAAAGTTTGCAATCAGATTAAATATTTGAAGAATAACACAATAAACTTCAATTTATGTGCTGATTAACGTTATTTTTTTGCTGGATACGAGGTAATAAGAATTTAATAGATAGTCATACAAGGAAATGGCTACTTAGGTGTGTGTACAAGGATTATATTATATCGCACGGATTTGAGTTTTTTTTCTTTAAATGTTTATTAGCGCGATAATATTATATATATAAAATTTATAAATAGTTATAAATTTCTTTTTCCGTTATTTATTTAAAACTTATTGTTTTAATTTTATATTTTTTCTTTTATAATATAATACGGGATAAAATCAACTTATATTCGTAAAAGAATAATAAATTTTACTCCAAATCTAAATAATTGATTTCTGTGTATCTAACAACTGAGATTTATTGGATCTCACTCATTAATTAATTATTAATTCTTAATAAATCTCTACCATTAGATTCACTAAAATTAACTATTATATTCTTACCCTGGTAATCCTATCCCATATAATATTGTTATGTTAATAAGATCCAATTTTTAAATAATGTAAAAATGTTAAATTTTATTACTTATATCTTAGATTACATTAAAAGTGCAAATTCTTAGAAGAAGGAAGATAAATAAATTCTGAAATCTTATTATCATTAATTGAATTTTAAACTAGCCGACTTTTTTTTTTATTCACAACATTTAAATTAGGGTGCTTAAATTAGTTTATTCTGTATTTTGAAATAATTTTAATAAAATGTTTTTTTAAGAAATAGTTGTTTTTAAAAAATAATTAACATTTTTTTGAGTTAACCAAACTCTAATTATTTTTTTGAGTCAAGTTGACTCTCAAGTATCTCACAAGCTTCAAATCTTTGAGCTGGCTATAAGATTAATCTGGAGTATGGAGCAAATCAAGGATAAAAACATTTAAACTCATCGCTAAAGATAATATGTAAATATCAAACCGAGACTCTTTTTTTTTTTACTTACTCAGTTCCCTTGATCCAATAAAAAAAAAATCATTACTAGTTAAATGTTGAAAAAGGCATTTGTTATATTACATGACAAATAAATAATTATTATAATTAAGAAAAAGATAATATCAATTTATTGAATAATATGTCATCTTATTTTTTTATATTATATAATTTATCTTTTATATAAAATAATAACTATTCATTTATCGTATAAGGTGATAAATACATTTCCCTTAAATATTTTCTCATTGCGACGCACATGCAAAGGAAAAAAGAACTTTCGCAGTGGTACGGATTCAAGTTCCTGTGCAGCTGTGCTATCTTCGGTAATTCGTGGTACTTTTTGCTTATGCTGCAATCTGATCAGTACAAATTGCGATCTTCACCGCACTCGGTGGAAATTAAATATTCTCTTCCAATTCGGATCACGTGCGGTGCTATGAAATAAAAATAAGTTTTTGTCATCTTCCAAAGTCAAGGAGAAAAGAACAATTAATTAATAAAAATCAACGCAGAATTGATTTGCTACGCCTACTTGTATATGTATACTCATCCTAAATATATATTATGAATATCTAACGAAATCAGTGGATCTTATTACTAATTTTATTGTATGTTCAAAATCAGTTTATACTAAAAACTTCAATGTAATATGTAAAGAATTAATTTAACTTAAAAATTTAAATTAAAAAGTGAAGATAGATCAATCATTTTTATATTATATATTCGAAGCATAATATGTTAAAGTTAATAAAGTGTATTCCAGGATCGGGTCTCAGATTCTGCTCTTAGATGGAAAAAAAGCCTATTGGTCTCATCCTACCACTTTTAACTAAAACAATGTTTTTATGCAATAATGAAACAAAACCAAATATGCTATTTACTTAGTAGTCAATTGTCATTTACTCTCTAACAACCGTATAATATAAGATTACTGCAAGATGTGGATAAAAATAAAAATTTCGTAATCAAGCGATGAAATTATACAATGAGATGTAGATGTGATGTGTAGCCGTGGAAGAATCGGATGCTTTAATTACACATTAGTAAAGAGATAAAGATGAAAACTCCATGAGGGTTCCCAAACCCAATAAAGGAAGGCAAGTATTATTTAAAATCGGAGTTCTTTCCCAACTGGGTCAGCACTTTTAACAATTCATACAGAAGCCAGGAGTGCCAAGTCCGATTGTAAAGAACAGCAAGTCTCCTTTAACAAATTTGCCATAAACAGTGAGTAGTTATATCTGTATATTTGAATATAATAATGTATGTTTAGTCTCCAGTACTGTATACCCTCTTACAATCTAATTTATGATTTTTAATTAATTGATTATTTTTAATATGTTAAGAATCTGTCTTTGTTATTTTGTATTGATGTGTTTGTGTGTCCCAGTTGGGAGATACCAAGAAGAATCATGGAGATCAATCATAAGGCGGTTAAAGGGAGAGTTGTTCTAATGAAGAAGGGACTTTTGGACTTCAATGACATCAAAGCCAATGTTTTTGATCGAATTCATGAGTTTTTGGGCAAGGGTGTCTCTCTTCAGCTCGTTAGTGCTGTTACTCCTGACCCAGGTAATCTTTCCCCCTTCTGTTTTTTCTCTCACTCTCTGGGGACTTTTGGCCATAAACTACTGCTAGACATGCTTGTATAGAATGTGCCATTTCTTCCATGTTTAACCATTGCAACACCATCATAATAGTAAAATTGTACAAGGAAAAAAAACTTTGAATTATTTCTGTTTGACTTCATAAATCTGGTATTGGTGTATTTGTGGTCTGAGTTAAGAACTAAAGTTTTGATTTTGTATGTTTATTAGCAAAGGGGCTGCGAGGGAAGCATGGAAAAGTGGCATACTTGGAGAGGTGGATTTCAACTATTTCATCTTTGACAACAACAGTAGATACAGAGTTCTCAATTACATTTGATTGGGATGAGAGCATGGGAGTTCCTGGTGCCTTCATAATCAGAAACCATCACCATAGCCAGCTCTACCTCAAGACAGTCACCATTGAAGACATTCCAGGTCATGGTCCTGTAAATTTTGTCTGCAATTCTTGGGTTTACCCTGCTCATCGTTACACGCATGATCGTGTGTTCTTTGCAAATAAGGTAAATGGAATTCAATTCTGAGTTAATTTTTCTGAATTGCTTTTTTAAGTCCTACTTTCCGATGGTCCAATGCTCCCTGAAGTGGTTACATATGCAGGCCCACACAACTCACATATGAACTTAGATTAGATGAGGAAATGATTATATTTGAAACGATAATAGAACTTAATGTAGATTAACACAATAAAAGAAAAAGCTTAATACACAATTTTATGATTACATATAGGGGAAATGACTTGAACTTTTAAAGCATGGAATTTATCTCCTTTTATTAATTTATAATTATATATTAAAGGTATCATATAATTATAATATTAAAATTATATTTTTTATCTTCGAACACTATTTATTGATGTGGAAAGTAAAAAATATATAATTTTAATATTATAATTATATATTATTTATAGTACATAATTATAAATTGTTAAAAAAATATAAATTATATATTTTAAAAGGATAAATTTTTAACCCTTGTATTTAATATTATAAAAAATTTATCCATTCAAATAAAAAAATAGAATTTCGTCAAATTTTGCTTTTGAACACTATGATCAAAGGGATTTAATTTTTTCATGTCATAAATATTGATACATAATGTGGTGGACCTATCGTCTATTAAAAAAAATGATAACATTGTTTTCAATGTAAAAGTGATATAAGATAATTCTCTTCCTATTATTAAAAGAAGAAGAATGGTATAAAAAAAAATATATATATAGTCTTCACTTTTCTGTGGCGAAGTTAACGATGTTCTGCCAGCTAGGTTTGCCCGAAAAATCATTTTCTTCATAGACTGGGGTCTGATCGTGATTTAGACATCACAATTCTTTTATAATACATAAATAATTTTCTGGGCCCAAAAGATTAATTTTAATATTTCACCGACACACACACACACACACATGGATGTGTCGATGGATGCAAAACAACTGTCGCCGAGGAACTCGATAAAATCCAATCAAATCCTTCCAAATTTGAGAATATTTGCAAAACCAAACCATACAACACATGAATTTTCAAAAATAAATAATTTTTTATTTTCGAACATTCCAAACACAAAGATTTGTTTTACAAATCTCACATAGTTAAATCTCACTTCTCAACATTTCAAATACCCTCTCGTTAAATATTTTCAAATCAAATTATTAGCTTCAACTTAACGAAATAGTTAAAATAACGATATAAAATGTGATTGTCTCCACCCAAACACACTCAAAAGTTTTCTGATATTGTATATGTCTTAGACATGCACGATACCTAAATAAAGGTACTTGAAAGTTTGAAACAACCTGGCTTTGTGATTCAGGCTTATCTCCCATGTCAAACACCCGAGCCATTGTGCAAATTGAGGGAAGAAGAACTTGCAATCCTCCGAGGAAAAGGGGTCGGGAAGCTTAATGAGTGGGACAGAGTGTATGACTATGCATACTACAATGATTTGGGAACCCCAGATGATGGTCCAGAATATGCACGCCCTGTTATTGGAGGATCACAGTTTCCTTATCCCCGTAGAGGAAGAACTGGTCGTCAACATACCAAAACAGGTTAGCAACAAAGCTACATTTGGAGTGGTCTAATAACAATAACATTCATATTTGTGCTTCTTTTAACTTAAAATAATTTCCATATTCACTTTTGATAATGAGTATTCATGACTGCAGATCCCAAAACGGAATCAAGATTGCATCTTCTAAATCTAAACGTTTATGTTCCAAGAGATGAACAATTTGGCCACGTCAAGTTTTCAGATTTTATCGCTTATGCACTGAAATCCGTTGCTCAGGTTTTGCTTCCGGAGATTAAATCTGTGTGTGACAAAACTATTAATGAGTTTGACACCTTTCAAGATGTACTTGATATTTATGAGGGAAGTTTTAAGCTGTTAAATGGACCTATAACGAGTAAACTTAGAGAACTCATTCCCTATGAGGTGCTTAGAGAACTTGTTAGGACTGATGGTGAGAGATTCCTCAAATTCCCAGTGCCTGACGTGATCAAAGGTATTCATTCTTCTAATGCTTTCCCATATTTCACGTGGCTTGGATTGCCTCGTTGGTATGATTTTAGACACACTTGTAATGTATGATTGCAGCTAATAAGACTGCATGGAGGACAGACGAGGAATTTGGAAGAGAAATGCTTGCTGGGGTTAACCCTGTTATCATCAGCAATCTCCAAGTACTATACAAAACAATGACCCTTTATAATTAATTTTATTAGTGATTCAGAACCTTTCTGTCTCAGCAAGTGACCTAAATCTGAATGCTACATGCAGGAATTTCCCCCTGCCAGCAAGCTAGACCCGAGCGTCTATGGAGACCAAAATAGCTCCATCAGAGCAAAGCACATAGAAAATTGTTTGGATGGGCTCACAATAGATGAGGTACTAATTGGGACTCACTTGTCCCTTGACACGAAAATGAAGCCAAATCCATATTGAAATGTGCTATATTTCAATCATTATATCAAAACAATCAAGCATCTTTATGTTGCAGGCGCTTCAAAAAAAGAAGCTATTTATATTAGATCATCATGACGCATTGATGCCATACCTGAGTCGAATAAACTCTACAAACACAAAGACTTATGCCACTAGAACACTCCTGTTTCTACAAGATGACGGTACATTGAAGCCGCTGGCTATTGAATTAAGCTTACCCCATCCACAAGGGGAACACCACGGAGCTGTGAGCAAAGTTTTCACTGCTGCACAGGAAGGAGTAGCAGCTTCAGTGTGGCAGCTGGCTAAAGCTTATGCTGCTGTTAATGATTCAGGATATCATCAACTTGTTAGCCATTGGTATGAGATCCAGAAAAGAAATCTCAATGATAGCAAAGTGTTTCAAACTTTGTTCTGTTCTATTTCTGACCTTAAATAAAATAACCATAAAACTGTGACTCATCTGCAGGTTATACACTCATGCAGTAATTGAACCATTCATTATAGCTACAAACAGGCAGTTGAGTGTTCTTCATCCAATACATAAGCTCTTGAAGCCACACTTCAAGGATACAATGCATATAAATGCCTTAGCTAGGCATACTCTCATCAATGCTGGAGGGATACTAGAGAAAACAGTTTTCCCTGGTAGATTTTCCTTGGAAATGTCAGCTGTTATATACAAAAATTGGGTATTCTCCGAGCATGCACTACCTGCTAATCTGCTTAAGAGGTGAGTTGAGAAAATGACTTGTATTGATTCTAGTCCAGTCTATCAAAACAAATTGTAATTCTATTCCATTGAAATTCAGAGGAATGGCAGTTCCAGATTCAAGCTGCCCTCATGGACTTAGACTTTTGATAGAGGATTACCCGTTTGCTGTTGACGGGCTAGAAATCTGGGATGCAATTGAAACATGGGTGAGTGAATATTGTAATTTCTATTATCCATCTGATGAATTGGTTGGGAATGACACTGAACTCCAGAACTGGTGGAAAGAAGTTCGATATGAGGGTCACGGTGACTTAAAAGATAGGTCATGGTGGCCAGAGATGAAGACTAGAGTTGAGCTCATTCAATCATGCACCATTATCATCTGGCTGGCGTCTGCATTCCATGCAGCTGTGAATTTTGGACAATACCCTTATGCTGGTTACCTTCCTAATCGTCCAACAGTTAGTCGCAGGTTCATGCCCGAGCCAGGAACCCCAGAGTATGAAGAGCTTGAGTCAAACCCTGACTTGGCATTCCTGAAAACAATTACAGCACAGTTCCAAACTCTCCTTGGTGTGTCACTGATTGAAGTTCTGTCTAGGCATTCAACTGAAGAGCTTTACCTTGGGCAGAGAGATACCCCTGACTGGACTTTCGATGCTGAACCATTGGCAGCATTCGAGCGATTTTCACAGAAGCTGTTGGAAATTGAGAACAATATTATGGAAAGGAACAATGATAAAAGATTGAAAAACAGAAATGGACCAGTGAAGGTACCTTATACCCTTCTCTATCCCAATACCTCAGATTATTCTAGGGAGGGTGGACTCACTGGGAAGGGAATCCCCAACAGTATATCCATCTAAAACTGCTCTGCTAGGCTCTACTCTCTCATTGAATTCTAGCTATTCAAGTATCCAACCAAGGATTTTGGGTGTTGAATAAACAATTTAAGTACATCTACCATGATTACTTTTTGCAGGTTTTTTTTATTGTATTGTTATGACAAGACTAGATTGAGTATGTGAAATTTATAGTTATTAATAGTCTTCAAGTATCATGTTGGCACTGCTTTAGTTAGTTTAAACTCATTCTATAATAATAGTACCTTGTTAACTGGTTTTGATTGCAATTTTGTGAAATAAGAAGCAAAGGATGACATAACACAACATAATTCATAGAATAAGTATGAGGTAGGTTGGTTTAAATATAGAAAGAGCGGGAGAGAAGAGGGAAAGGGTTAGGAGCAACCCATTGTGCCAAGAGATGAAAACCACATGTTCGCGTGAGTTTTTTAATAATAAAACCAATCTTTTTAATATAGTTTTTTTGTTCGTTGGGTGAGTTTCACGCGAATCTTACTAAATAAAGAATAGATTTAGGTGTTCACAAAAAAAATAAAATAGATTTAGGTTATGTAATGAAACATACCTAAAAAATATTTAATAATAAAAATGTGTTAAAAGAGTGTATCAAAAATACAACCATGAGTTAACCCTAATTGAAGATTCTATCACTTTTTATACAAGATGTATTTCTTTTCTGGCTATATATAACTGTAGAGATATTAAATAGTAATAGTTCAGTTGATATATAGGAACTGAATAGGTAAGGGTGAGAGTATGCGTTTGATTTTCTCAAGTATCATTTTTGAAAGGAGTTCAAAGTCTTAATTTCAATTCCGTCTCAAATAAGATTATTTTTCATGAAAAATATCCGTGGTTTATCAAAAAAAAAAATATATAACTGCAAAGATTATATAATATGTCTGCAAAAGAAAAAAAGAAAGAAAGAAACTGGGTCAACGGAAGTATTTCTTTAGATTGATAGGCAACTTTCTTTCTTCTTTCTTCTTTTTTTCCTTTTTGTCATTGTTTATTTTAGGAGAAAAGATATTTGAAAATCCTTTTTTTTTTTGGAAAAAAAAAGAAAGAGGTGTGAGGCTTGGGTGATAGATCGAATCAAAATTATACATTCTAATTGGTCCAAGCCATATCACCTTATCCATATCCACATCCTCACCACTCATCCGAAACTTCTTAACAAACGACTCCCTTACTAGCCTGTTTTGTATCTTATTGATATCTCACAAGCCTTACATAACACACTTCCCTCACACAATCTCTCAGCCTTTGAATCCAATTCTCCATGGCCATGGCAACCCAAGCCTCCCTCTTGACCCCACCTCTCTCTGGTCCCAAAACCAGTGACCGTGTCTCTGTGCCATGGAAACAATCATCCACCTTGTCCTTCACCAGCCCCAAGCCCCTAAAGTTCACAACTTCACCAAGAACAATCAGAGCAGCTGCTGCTGATGAGAAAGTAGAGGCACCAACAAAGGAAGAGGCACCGGTTGGGTTCACCCCACCTGAATTGGACCCAAACACTCCCTCCCCAATCTTTGGTGGCAGCACTGGAGGGTTGTTGCGCAAGGCCCAGGTGGAGGAATTCTATGTTATCACATGGGACTCTCCTAAAGAACAGATCTTTGAAATGCCCACTGGTGGAGCAGCCATCATGAGGCAGGGTCCCAACCTTCTCAAGTTGGCTAGGAAAGAACAGTGCTTGGCTCTTGGGACTAGGCTGAGGTCTAAGTACAAGATCAAGTACCAGTTCTACAGGGTGTTCCCTAATGGGGAAGTCCAATATCTGCACCCTAAGGATGGTGTGTACCCTGAGAAGGTGAACCCGGGTCGCCAAGGGGTTGGCCTCAACTCCAGGTCTATTGGTAAGAATATAAGTCCAATTGAGGTCAAGTTCACCGGCAAGCAAGTTTATGATTTGTAAGCTATGGGATGCTTAATTGGGGTATATTCTGATGTATTTATAATCAAGTTTATGTGAGAAATGTTAAAACTCTGTACCTTTATTTTTACGGTTATTTCCTTTTTTTTATTTCATGATTATTGTGTCAACAGCATGTTATGGAATATTATTTTTCTTTAGCTTGATGAAGCCTATATACCAGAGTAGTGATACCAAAACCAAACGAGGATAGGTTGTTTAAGAGAGAAATAATCGCCGTTGTTACCTGTAGATATCTGTGAAGCTGAAAGGGACCATCTTAATATGCTTTCTGGCAAGACAATTTTAACATGTATCATGTGATGATGAAAGAATACATGTATGGTAAAAATTGATAAATATGAAGTAAATATCCCTTTTCTTCCCACAGAGAAGTGTTCTCCACTAACCTCAGGACAGCAATCCCAAAAAATAAAAATGAAAAATGAAAACATTACGATCATCCCAGCTCTTCAATTCCACTCCTTTAAACAAATCAACGGATTCAGAGTAAAATTTCCCTTGCAAATAACTCGAAACATAAAATTGATAAATAACACATCCATATAAAAAAATTGAAAGATAACACATCCATCGACAACAAAACATAACTATCTACAAATCATAAGTACATTAAGTCCAATTTCAGACAAACATTATTTAAATTATCATATGTAAATTCTCTATACCTATGAAATGTGGGAAAAAACAACAAACACAAAATTAAGGATTTCCACCCAGGATCTGACGTGATAATTGAATGGTATCATCCTCTTTAATATTGAGCTGCTCAAAGGAAATATTTTCATTTAGCACAAATGTTTCATAAGTGATAAAACGATAATCATCACCACCAATCCCCAATCCCCTATCTTCACATTCATCCTCTATTTTCTCTGAGGTCACGTAAACACATTGTGAGCTATCGAGGAGGCCCTGATGGTCGAGCAATGGGTCTAAGACTCTTAAGCACATAATGGTCAAATGTTGCCTCTTACCGTATCTCCTCCATCAGTTGAAGAATAGTATCATGGTTGACATCTACTTCTACACCGAATGCTGTATCGGTTTCTATTTTCACTGATAACTTTATGAGATTAATGTTTGTCACATCGTGGAAGATAAAATTAGGGTTTATGATTTATGTGTATATGAAAAATAACTTTATTATCGTAGGCATCATCTTCTGGAACATCTCTGTATCCTCCTCTGCTTTCGGATTCTGCAGCAATGGGTGATGCGCACGTTTTCTCTTTGTGTTTGGTCGAGGTTTTTTTAGTAGATACCTAGGCATCATAAATAGGATTTCTTTGTTTTCCATATTTGGTTCACAATATTACAAAATTTTGATAGGAAACACATTTTCCTAGACTTTAATATTTGTGTGTATAATGGAAAGAAAGTTAGTCTTCAATTTCTCCACTTGTATTGTGACTTAGACCGGCTAAACGAGTAAAAGACAACTAAAAAGCTAAGCTGACCGTAATACTCTTATCTTACCTAATTTGTCCGGTAAATTTTTTTTCAACCAAACAACTTTTTTTACATTTTCCTACCAAACTCACTATTCAACCATTTTCCTATCAATTACATTTTCTTAGTATTCAAAAAATTTCTCCTCAATCAAACACGCTCTTTGTTATTTTCATTCATCACAAATTGATTGTGAATACAATCATAAACACCGTTATTGGGTATTGGTAGCTCATCAGTCTCCTTGTTGGGCAATGCCATCAACTTCAATTTCTTTAGTGGAGATGCATGTTCTATTGGTTGGGATTGCTATTCCCTGCTGCGGCGTAGGATCTGTAAGCCACGGCAGAGACGCAGGAGGTAGTGGGCGAAGGTGTGCCGCCCTCGAGTTGCGTGCCGGTGAAGAAGAGACGTTTTCAATTTTGCCCGAAATCTGGACATCGAGAGTGATGGTCTTTCCGGTGACGAAGATTTGCATCTATATAGTCAAAGTCAACAGCAACAAATAAATCTAAATCAAACAAGCACCACAAAATTATATTCCAATTTAATCAAATGATTTTCAAGAACGGATCTGAAGAATTCCATATGAAAACCCTAATTGGTTTGTAAATAAGATATGAACTGTTTCGCTGATAATAATAGATCTATTTCCTTCAAATAATAATTTTACCAAGATTCTTTAACATCACTGATCAGTATAAAAATAATAAATTTTAGGTCAAATTTTAATAGTTAATTTCTGTATATGTAACGGTTGAAATTTACTAAGAACTAATAATTAATTAATAAGTGAGATTCAATAAATTTTAATTATTAAATACATAAAAATCAATAATTATAGCTTAGTGTAAGATTTATTATTTTTATGTTAAATTATGACAATATAATTTTACACACGAGGGTATGAATCTTATCTTAACAGCACTCACCGCAAGGTATATAATCAAATGCAGTAGCTAACTTCGTTAATTTCCGTTATGATTCACTTCCAGAGAAAGAAATAATTTATTTTATTATATAATCAACTTATAAAAATAAACGCATGATCGTTTCATATCAATATGAAAAATAAAACACTTTATTTATTATTCATGTGAATTATTAGATGTTGTAAAATTATATATATATATATATATATATATATATATATATATATAGATTAATATTTTTTCCTCTTACGGGAGATAACTATAACTCCTGCAACCCCAAAACGTCATTTTAGGGTTGAAAATGAAAAATAAAGGATATTTTTGTAAAATTCCAAAAATAAGAGAAAAATAAAATTTTTAAAATACCCCTTATTTTCAATCTTAAACCCCAAAGCGACTTTGTTTTGAGGTTACAAGAGATGAAATTATCTCCTGTGATAAGAGAAATATTTTTTCCATATATATATATATATATATATATATATATATATATATATATATATATAAGCCAGGATCAACTTATACTTGTGTAAGAATAATAAGTCTTACATCAAATCTTAACCGTTGATTTTTATGAATCTAACGATTGTGATTTTTTGGGTCACACTCATTAATTAATTTTTAATTCTCAATAAATCATAATCGTTAGATTTACGGAAACCAACAGTTAAAATTTGGTGTAAGACTTGTTATTTTTACACTGATATAAATTGATCACACACACACATATAGGTCAGGATCATTTTACACTGGTGTAAGTTATACTCTTAATCTTGACTGTTGATCTTATTTATATTTAATGGTTCTGATTTATTGGATATTTGAGCCGTTAGATGTAAGAAAATCAATTATCAAGATTTGGTGTAAGACTTATTATTCTTACATTGATATAAGAATATCTCTTTCTCACACACACAAATATATATATATATATATATATATATATATATATATATATATATATATATATATATGGGGTTAACATTTCTCCAGTCATTTGAGATAAATTTATATCAAACTACTCTTTTTTTTTTTGGAAATACAAGGAAAATTAAACAAAACAACTAAAGACACAATCTGGGCATAGCCACACCAACAACATCATCCCTCAAAACGGATTCGCAATAATTTGGAGGAGCTGTAAATTCTTGCAAATCCCAACCAAAGGAATGAGCATGACCAGCTAGAGCATCCGCAAGACGATTTCCTTCCCTGTAAGCATGGGAAACATGAACAAGCCAGTCCTTTTGCATGTAATGACGAATCTGATGAACCAAAGTAGCCAGAGGGTGTTCCTGATTACAGTCTTTGTTGATAAAATCAATAGCGACCACCGAGTCTCCTTCCAACCACACTCTACGATAATTTCTTCTCCAAGCTATCTGAAGTCCTAAAAGGCAACCCCAAAGTTCTGCTGTAAGAGAATTACCCCAACCAAGGTATTTTGAGAAGCCAACAATCCAACTCCCAGTATCATTCCTAAGAACACCTCCACACCCAGTACACATTCCTCCCATTGTACAAGACCCATCTACATTGATCTTTATCCAACCATCTGGAGGAAAGGTCCAGCGAATATATCGCTCCTCTTTATTCCTTCGATGAAGACCAGAAGAAACAAAAAGAACTCTAGACTGCAACACATAATCATGGTAACACCAAATCTGTCGAACAATGCTATAAGCATTAGCCTGAGATCCTTCAAAAATCATTTTGTTTCTGGTATTCCAAATGAACCAACAAGCAATACCAAAAATCAAAGGCCACTCCCGATTATCTCCCATATCACCAACCACGAGGTTTGACTGCAACCAATCATTGAAACTCTGGGAGAAAAAATTCCTTTGCTTTACCTGCAAAACAAGAAGTTTCCAAACATCTCTAGAAATATGACAATCACGAATAGCATGTATGGAATTCTCCTCTGAAACTAAGCATCTGGAACACATGTTTGAATCAGCCATATGCCTCTTAACACGCTTCACATTAGTCAAGAGCTTATCCCCAACAAAAAGCCAAAGAAAGCAACGGATCTTCTCAGGACCAGGCCATTTCCAAATTTTGTCCCATGGAAATACATTATCTACCACTTCCGTTTGTGCAATGAGAGAGTAAGCTATCTTCACTGAAAACTTACCGTCGCTAGTCCCTGTCCAAATCACTCTATCTGGACCACCTTGTAAGAAAGGAGGCACAAGGTTTTGAACTTTTTGCAAAACTGAGCTAGGTAGCAGGTGCTGAAATAAATTCCAGTTCCAACTCCCTTGACTAGTTACACATCCAGCTACCGTCCATGAAAGACAATCTTCAGGAATCGGATGCACCGTAAGCTGGTAAAGAGGAGTACAATTAGGAACCCAACGATCATTCCAAAAAGACGTGTTCTGTCCATTACCAAGAAGAACTCGAGAATTATCCACCACAGGCTGCCAAACTCGAGCTACTACTTTCCACAGATTCGATCCAGTTCTAGAGACTCTTACATTTGGGAACAACTGGGTGCCCACTTTGTATTTATTTTTGAGAACTTTACACCACAGAGCTTCAGTATCAGTCATCAACCCATGAGCCACTTTCATAATCATAGCTTGGTTCATCCCTTTCAATTGTCTAATTCCTAGACCACCGTCCTGCTTCTTCCTACATAAGGTATCCCATGAGACTAAATGAGTCTTCTTACAATCTACTGTATCTCCCCATATGAAACTCCTAGTTTTACGCTCCATGTCATCACAAGTAGTTTTAGGGATTATGGAAGTTTACATTGGATATAAAGGAATTGTAGAAAGCACTGATTTTGCCAAAGTCACCCTACCAGCAAGAGATAAATTTGATTGCTTCCAAGAATTTAATCTTCTGTTAATTCTATCCAACACATAGCTAAAAGACCTTTTCCCAATTCTTCTGTGATGAAACGGGATACCCAAGTATTGCCCTAAATCAGATGTTAAGGCAAAACCCATCTGATCACTGATTTCCTGAGCACGACTGTGATGGGCATTATTAGAAAAAAAGATCTTACTCTTGTTACTGCTTACCCTTTTTAAAGTTGTATTTTTTCTCTCTCGAGTCACATTTCAGAACTTGTTTACTGACGTGGAAAGAAAGAAAAAAATAACTTTAACATTACAACTATGTATTATTCGTAGTACATAGTAAAAGAGGTAGCTTAAGATAAGTTTATCTCAAGTGGCTGGAGAAATATTATATATATATATATGGGAATGATCCGTTCACAAATTGTTTTTACAATTTTTTGCAAATTACACTATGTTCTCCCGGGAGTACATAGTGTAGTTTGTAAATAAAAAATTTGTAAATATAATACTCCCTATATATATATATATATATATATATATATATATATATATATATATATATATATATATATATATATATATATGAACTACTTTTTTGGTAGCCGCTACTATCTGCAGCTGAGACAACAAAGTGAGCTTCTTTAAAAAAAAAAAAAACAACAACCAGAATCTGCATGGGTATCTTGGTCTGTTGTATGTGCAGCGGCTGCAGAAATAATTTTTCTATATATATATGTGTGTCTCTCTGTGTGTGTAGAGGTGACAAAATGGGCTTAGCCTGACGAGGCGGGTTGAGTTTTTCAACTTGTCGTCCCCCAAAGACCCCATTTTTTGTTAACTTTTACTGTTCTACTTTACACCTAACTTAGCTTTACTATTTAATTATAAAAAATCATATAAAATTTACAGCATTTTCCAAGTGTTTCTGAACTCTTGTTTTCAATGAACTAAAATTGTTATAAAAATTTATTTACCAGCATACTTAATCAAACTAAAAAAAAAGTTTCTCTAACTTTTAGAAAGCTAAAATGTTATGTTTACTACGGTTAATTTTAAATTATTCTTTGTTGAAACTTAACATATAAATAAGATGTAATTTAAAAATAAAGAAAAGTACGTAGTAAAATGAAAAGTTATTATCCTAAAAATTTCTCATTGATAAAAAATTCGCCACTAATGTTTAGAAATGATGGTGCTACAATATCAAATTAACAGTAAATGGGAATAAAATTAAAAACAAAAATATGAAAGAAAGTGCAATAGTACCACAAAATGAAAAAAAATGTTAAAATTATAATTAAAAAAGGAAGAAAAAGAAAGAAAGAAATTTTTAAAAAAAATGTGGGTTGGTGGGCTTATAGGTGGGATGGCTTTCTCAGCCCACTATCAAAAATAGGGCGGGGCGGGCTGCCTCGTTTGTATGCAGGTTGATGGCGAGGCGGGGTAGGGTAGGGTGGAACAGGCTCACTTTGCCACCTCTTTCTCTCTCTCTCTCTCTATATATATATATATATATGTGTGTATATATAGAGGTAGAATTCTTTGACACCAATGTCAAATTTGAAATTTGACACCTCACTTGAAAGCCATTAGATTAAAAAAATCAATGGTGTCGCATGCTTACAAATCAGAGTCGTTGATCTTTTTTGATCTAACGGCTCTCAAATGAGGTGTCAAATTTGAATTGTCAAAGGATATTACCATATATATATATGTGTGTGTGATTTGTGATTTATCTTGCTATAGGAGATAAATTTATCTACAACAACTCCAAAACTACGTCATTTTGAGAGTTAGGAGAATTAATGAAGGGATATATTTTTCTTATGTTGTAAGAAAAAAGTTATCTTATGTTGGAGAAATAAAAGTATAAGTGGGACCCACATATAAGAGGAGAGAGAAAAAAGAGTGGTGAGACCCAACCCCTTTTTGTCTGTGTAGGAGAGTTGTTTATCTCATGTAAAATGAGATAAACATACCCCATTAACGAATGATGTTTTGGAGTTGCCAAAGATAACTTTACTCTCAATTCCCAAAACAATATAGTTTTAGAGTTGTTGGAGAAAATTTTACTGTTGTGGCAGGAGAAACACTTTTCCTATATGCATGTGTATATGACACAGTCATATTTATAGCAAGGAAAAAATATTTCTACAGCCATTTTAGATAACATTATCTACAGCTATCCCCTTTTAACTAAATCTGACCAGTAAGACATAGTTATAATAACAAAGCTGTTTTTTTTTTCTCTTTTCAGACATTGTCAGCTGACATGGTAGAGAGAGAATGCAATTTTTATGTCTTAATGGTCAGATTTAGTTAAAAAAGATAGTTGTAGACAAACCCTATCTAAATTAACTGTTGAAATATTTAACCCTTACAACAATCACTTTAATTTATTATTCAAGTAAACTAATATAAGAGGCTTATCATGATACACACGGTTTAACATGCTTTTTTAAATGTGAGTTGCACAAGAGGTCATATTCCCCTCTTTTAAAATTCAAATTCTCTCAACTTATGCTCCCTGTTAAGTGCATGAAATTGATCCAAAATTGTCATATACGCTGTAAAATGCTTTATTTATTGATCAAGTCAACTAACAAAATATCTTGGATGGCCCCGGTGCAAATAGCTGCCCGGTAGAACCATTATTACTTAGTACGGGGAGCATATGCGGCTTCCTTGTACCCGCATCTCTTTATATTTCTCACACACACACACGCATGATCTTTTGTACATATTAAGGTCATACAACCTCACACTTAGGGGCTGAAAACAGTTATTTCATCACGTTTTACATATTTAAAGGGAATCTCCATCTTCCATATAAAAGGGACCTTGCCTATCTCACTATTAACTTTCTCCATTCACTCTTCATTTCCCTTATTCTGCAAAATTCTCTCCTTAGATAATTGTAGCACTCAAATACCTCCCCTTTGCACCCTCAGCTAGACTGGGGCTGACACAATGACACCTTACAACTTCAGTCTACATCATTGCCTCTTTCGTCTCTCTCAGAGATCAACCCTTTAGGAAAACTTCCTACCTGATAGTCTGATATAGTTCACATCTTTTGACGTAGGAAGATAATCAATCACTCCGCAAAATTTATATTTAATAGAGATGGAAACTGACCCAATGTTAATCCACCGAAAATGCATTTTCGAAGTTATCGGAGTGCAGTTGATGTGGAAAGTTTCTCTAAAAGCTATATATATAAAAAATAAGTATCCATGAATTAACTGGCAGGGCTTTTTTTTAGCTTAAATAGTATTTTTGAGTTTAAGTATAGTTGTGTTAAAAAATTAATAGAAAGTGTTTTGTCACTCTTGCAATATTGTTCAATTCGAATCAGATTAATAAAATAATTGATGAATCAGCGAAGAAAAATAAATAATGTAAAAGCTTAATCAAAACAACAATAATTTAAATTTATTTGTTAACCATTTGATATCGCTGAAAGATGCAATTTGATTTTATTTTTGGACGATTCATGATTCATACAGGTAAATAATACACAATATCTTACAATATTCACATGATTAACATCACACCAATAATTAAGGGGGGCTTTTCCTATTATTTATTTTCATTGTCTTCGTCATTAGCGATTGATGTTGTGTTAATTGCTTGGGTAGTTGAGCGTGTTCAACGTCATATCAGGCCTTAGCCCACACCCAAACAAAGGGGTCAGTTTTCAAGCTCCGACAACAGCACTGGTAAGTACAGCATCCAATTCGCTCTTCGTGCGTGCGACCCTTTGATCGTCACCGTCCATTCCGCTTGCCCATATTTCCGGAATTACTTGTGCAACATTATTCACACACTCCACAACATAGTCTGCTTCTTTGATTTTCACTGTCTTCCCAACCTTTTACAAACCCAAACAAACACACACATATATCAAATAATAAGATTAAATATCTTATTAATCATATAATAAGAATAAACATAATAATTAGATACTAATTATATGCACCGTACGACTTTGGTTTATGGAATTACCAGAACGGTGTGGAGACCCATTTCTTTTCCCGCGGCGACATTGCGAACGCTGTCATCCAGAAACAGCTGCAATATATAACATAAAAAATTGAAGCGTATTCGTCATTTTTTTTTTTTATATTAATGAAATCAATTATAATAATATCCAGTTTTCACTATCAGAAAACGACATCTCTAACGGAGATAGTTACGACGCGTTTCGTTGCCTTACCGTTCGACGAGGATCCACGTTGGCAGCGTGGAGTGCGATCTTGATGGCGTCCAGCGACGGTTTCAGGAGGACCGGGAATTCGTCGGGTCGGGTCGAGTCGGGGAGGTTCGGGTTCATAGTCTCGAAGCATATGATTTGTTCGAAACAGTCCTTTATCCCAAGTCGATCCAGCACCCTCTGCGCGTGAATCCTGTCCGAATTCGTAAAAATCTAAAAATAAAAGAAAAAGAAAATGATGATTTAAGAATTAGGAAATTAAGAAAATAACGACAATTTAAATTTAATGGAAAGAAAACTTGCATTTCAAATAAACATACAATTTTCCTTTGCTTGATGGTACGGAGGAGGTTCCGTAGCTGAATATCAGGTTTGATCACCTCATAAGGTAGCCTTCCGTGTACGAAACTGTTTGGAGTGAGAAAAACGAAAAGTTAAAGGTTTGGATTTTGGTTATGCAGAAACTGATCACTCGAAGAAGGTTCTCTCACCTGTGGTAATCTTCTGCGCTGATATCATAGCCTAGTGCCTGCAAGTAACAAATTAAGAAGGAAATAGAATTGAGACTATAATTCGAGTATTGGAAGATAGAGTGATTCGAATTTATTGGATTATGTATACTAACTCGCAAACCGGCAAGGGTGCTTCCATATGTTTTGAAGAGTTCAACTCGGAGGATGGACGATTTAGTCTCTGAAGATCCGCATTTCTCCACCAGAAACAGGTCGATGTTTTTCTTCAAGGACTGGCCGATTCCGGTGCTGCTCGGGTACAAGGTGTCGTCTAAATCTGCTTAATCAAATTTTTCGAGAAAATGAGAAGGAATAATTTCGAGGGAGTTGTAGTGGTAGATGAGAAGAAGAAGGAAGAGGAGGAGGAGGATGTACTCACCGAAGATGACACATTCGAAAGGAGAAGATTTGGCGCAAAAACCCATTGCTGCAGATGAAAAGAGTGAAATGGGAGAAAGTCGAAGCAAGCTTCAATGGAAGAGAGGATAGGAGGGGAATTTAAAGAGACGGAAGGGCGTTGTAGAGTGAAAGAGAGGTGGTGACGTGGAGCATGTGGATTGGATAGACACAAAGATCGCTGAGTCAGCGTTTCAAATTCTATGACGAAGTTGGTTGGAAGCCGAGTAGACGGGGGGGTCCACCACACTCCTAACCACCATACCCGCGGGAAATTTGTACATGGGCGATTATACCCCCTCGCAACGCTGTATTGTTATTCAGATTGGCCAATCAATACACGACAATGAATTAAAATTATTCTCATGTCTATATCACAAAGTCTGTAATTGATGAAAATTGAATTGTATTTATAAAATTTTACACTAATCTAAAATTTATTTTTACTTTATTCATATGTCTAAATTAACGTAAATATGCTCATAATATGAGTTATTTGATTAAATTTCTATATTTTTTTTAAAAAAATAGATATAAATGATTAATATGATAAATAGTTATACAAGTCATGAAGTAAATCAGCGTCGGAATATGTTTCATCATTGAACTTTTTTAGAAGAAAAAAATATTTTTAATGAAGTTATGGTTTTGTAATTAAAGCAATAAAAGTTTTAAGGTGATATATAATAGGTGTTTGTTTATATTCCAAACAATTTTTATACCTATTTTTTGATTAATGAAGAAAACATGAGATTGGGTCTCTAAAGTCTAAAATGATAAGAATAAAAAATGAATTCATTAAAAGTTTAAGTTATGAATAATAGTTCACTCAAAATGGGATGCAAAAATCGGGGCAAATTGGGAAGTTGGCATTGTCTTACCAATCATGTCACTGCTTTGTGTTACACATCAGATATGCATACTTACTTATTTATTTCGAGCTTTATCAGAGGAGTTATTCAATAAAATTATTGACGCAAACTGATATTTTTTTAGTTATAAAATATGGTTGTGCTGTTTGAGATATATAAAAAAACATAAAATAATTAATTAAGTTTCGTCAACGCACTTAAAGATTTTGAGTTAAAGTGATGTTTTATATGATATCAGAGCTCTAATGACTACAAAACCATGAATTTGATCCATGCTTCAAATCTAAAAGATTCCTGTACAAGAGAGATGTTAGAGAATATAAAAGTTACAAAATAATTAATTAAATCACATCCAATATCTTAAAATTTGTGATTGAAGTGACTTTTTATATGTACCTTATCTTCTTTCTTTTTCATTATAGAAAACACTTAATTTCTGTTTGATAATAAAATAAATTTTGAACATATTTTTTTTTTAAGAAATACTAACAAAATAATTATTTTTAAAAATAAATTAATACAAATGCATACTTATTCACCTTAACCCACATATTTAATGACAAACAAACAATGGTGCGTTTGATCAAGGAAATATGCTGGGATTTTTATTTTTTTAGTTAATCCAATCTTAATTTTTTTTTTATGTGAGTTAGTTTTTTTCGATATCTTTATAAGTTTGGACTCTTTTAAGGTTATAAAATTAATTTGGAGTGCGGAACAAGTTAGGGATGAAGATATTTAAATTCTTTTTAAATGTGATATGTAGAAATTGAACCGAAGCTCTTTTCTTTTCACTTACTCAATTCTATTGTTACCAACTAATCTACTAGTATTTGGTTGCTGATATGTTTTTGGATTGCAGTAATACAAATTTTGAAGAGAGAAAAGGATTTCTTGGTGAATAAGTAGAACACGTTATATTTGGAAATTAAAATTACTTATTTATCCAGCAACAATATTAAGGAAGTAAATTTTTTTGATGAAACAATATTGTGATATATGCAATAATTTATAATTGAGTAATAGTAGTACAAATAAAAAAAAATTGAGAGGCCCTTCTAAACTCCATCTGGGATCATAAACGACAATTTTCAGAAGCAAATTTTCAAACTCCAGGATAATTTGCTAACTAAGCAAGATTCAAATCTTTGGTTTAAAGTATATTTCTGTTCTGTATATTCAATTCGGTTTCTTTCCAGCAAAAAAATATTTTCTTATGAGTCATGAAACTAAACCGCGTATGTTTAAAAATAACATGTGGCATACTTTTATGGACCTAGAAACATGGTTTAATAATGGCATGTGAAATGTGTGACTTGCAGTCTTGTACAATACTTTATCCGATCCCTTTCCACCCTGCTTCGTGACGAGAAAAGATAACTCAAATTATCAAACACTAACATCGATAACTCTTTACTTCCTCGTATTCAAAATTACTGGATCAAAATCTTAAGAAGTGAGATCTTATTTTTTTTTATTTTATATTTACTTTACTTCCTTATCTCAATACTGGTGATTAGAATTTCAATTAATTTTTATTCTTTCTTTTCTTTTAATATTCAAATTCATTAATTTTAGAAATAAATAAATAAAGTAGGTAGGAAAAGAAGATAAACATAATATCTTTTCTCTATCTCAACATTAAAATAAAAGGAGCTTATCAAAAAAAAAAAAAAAAAGGAGCTTAAAGTTTAAGCAGATAAGGTTTCCGAGTAAGAACAAGCACTCGATTCTTGTGCTGTAGTATCATTCGGACTATATGTATTATTGATGCCCATGCCTGTTTCATGTTTGATAAATCAATAGCCAACAGCTGGCGCTTGGTTTTGTTCTGATGTTAATTTTGTCACGAATTTTACTTTTGTCAAAACTTGTGCGATCAAGGAATCATTATATAAAATTAGTTTTTCATCGTCTCGATTCTTGAGAAACAAAAAAGGTGTAAATCTCGTCAAATTTAAGGGCATATCATAACTCTTCAGGATAGAATCGAAAATTTCACAAGTAATGTGGAATTAGGCTCCTAATAACAAATAAAAACACGATAATACATTCGAATTGAACGAATCTAAATTGATGATGAGCTTTGTTTTTTCTCCTCTCACTCCTTTTTTTAACTAAATATGTGAGACGTTTGTACTAAAAAAAAAAAAATGAAATGTGAGACGTTGTTATGACAAAGACTCGCTTACGCAGTTCTCCAAAAAAAAAAGGGCTCGCTTACGCAATCTAGTCTTTCGTACCACTGAAGAGATGTTTTCATTAGAGTTCGTTCCTTCCATTTGCCCATTTCTCTTTCTTGAGATAAGAGGCCTTAACATTTTAATAAATAATATCAAGAAAAATGTTTGGTGGATTTCTAAAACTAGACTCGAGTTTCATATTCGTAGACTTGAAGATATGAATTGAAATTGCAAGCTTGATTAGATCTAACTTGGTTTGAGTTATTAATCGAGATCAAAGACTAACTGAGTTCTACAATTAGACATGCTTAATCAAACTAAAAAAGGCGAATTCATTTCTTGAGTTCAATGAGCTGAAATTGAGGAAATTAAGAGTAGGAAGAGTATTTGATCCAAACCCTATTTACGCAAGATAAAAGCTCAATTTAAAGGAGGCACAATCACTCCATAAATGATTGCTGTGCGAAGAGAATGCGTTTGTTCCGCTTAACTTGAGCATCTCATGTCTTCCCCACACATGCTATCATCAACTCAAAAGTGAACTTAGGGAAATAAGTTGTTTAGGACAACTTGACTACCACGTGAACTAATGACTAAATGACATTATCGACTTCCTCTGACATCTATAAGGGTCTAGCCTAGATAAAAGTATCTCTTGCCCATAATAATATGTGAAAGCTACTATTCCCTATCAATAAGAATGAACATCATCATATAAAGGTGGCAAGAGCAAGACACCCTCCAATTATAAATACAGAGGCATTTAGTTCAAATAAATCATCTATCCATCAATACTTGAATTATTTGAATACTGAATTGACTTAAGCGTCGAAGTATCTTGCAGCTGTCCATTCCAGTATTCTCCAATTGCCCAAATACCTACATACGAGTTCACCTATCTAGTGAGAATACCAAAGTTATCTCACCATGAAACAATAATCTCGCAAAATATAATTCAACCCAAAAGAGTAACATTAAAGAGTAACATTAGGCTCAACCGTATGTGATCCAACTCAATTATCTTTAGATCGATCAATATTTTTTCCTTTGTAAATTAATCATGCAAGAATTTGCAAATAACTATTTCAATTCAAAAATTCAAATTAATAGATAAATATTATATTAAAAATTTTGAATTATATTTATCTAAGTAACATATTCTCTCACTTAAACAGTCATTTCAATTGAAGAGTGACTACGAAAAGTCCATTATATATTTATATGTACATAGAAATTTTATAATATTTAAGTATTTATTAATAAAATAACATATTAATAATTTTAAATTACATTTTTCAAACAGGAACCAGATCAATCAAGATGATTACTTTTATTGAAATTGCATGTATCAAAAAAAAGATGTTTGCTTTTATTTCTTTGCTTTGTCTTTTATTTATTTTTATGTATAAAAAAAAATGATTGCTTTTATTGAAACGTTACGAATCCAATGAAGTAACTGAAGAGATATCTATGGGATTAATCTGTTCCAGTTATCAATGAGCCAAAACGGCAAAACGCCAAAGGGCGTTGAATTATATACAATTACATTAACAACGAAACTGAATGTGATTGCTGGGTGATGACGAAGATGCGGCTCCCATTATGCATCAAAGAACATGATGGAAACCTGTGGCGATACGGGGTTCTGATTTGTCTCAAAGAAATAATTATTATCGGTTTCCAAAAAAAAAAAAAACGTGATGGGAGATAATATAAAAAAATTTAAAAGTGTTACAAAAAAAGTCTAAAAAGAAGGAAATTAGTATAAGAGAAAACAAGTAAAATGAGAGGAAAAGATACTGAGTAACTCAAAGAAGATGAGAGAGTGTCTTCCGAAAAAATATATGATTTCATTAACATGATGATACTCATATATACAGGGTTGCAACAATAAAAGATAATTAAACTAGTATTAAATAATTATAAATTGAGAGATAAATGTCAACAGTTACAATCATAAATTGGGAGTTAAATTCCAATGTTTTTCAGAATTTGAAATATTGCCTCAGAATAAAAAAAAAAAACCATCCATTTTGTAACATTT